TTATGATATTAGTTCTACGGTATTAAGTTAGTTATATTAGACATATGGAATACGAGGCTATTTTATTTTAGTTCTACGATATGAAGTTAAATTGTATTAGAAATAAGGAATACGATGCTATTTTATGATATTAGTTCTACGGTATTAAGTTAGTTATATTAGACATATGGAATACGAGGCTATTTTATTTTAGTTCTACGATATTAAGTTAAATTATATTAGAAATAAGGAATACGATGCTATTTTATGATATTCGTTCTACGATATTATGTTCTAAGTAAGTATAAAGCCATGTCTCCTATATTGGTTCTACTATATTATGTTATATCAGTGTTTCCCCTATGTTCCCAACTATGGGGGCGGACGTATCGGAGGGGGGCGTGGGTGTTGGGGCGCGCTGGGGGATACAATGGTAGGGAAAACACTGTATATGAAATTAAGTTATATAATATTAGAAATAAAGGTGTAATGCCATGTCTCCTATATTGGTTCTACTATATTATGTCATATCAGTGTTTCCCCTATGTTCCCAACTATGGGGGCGGACGTATCGGAGGGGGGCGTGGGTGTTGGGGCGCGCTGGGGGATACAATGGTAGGGAAAACACTGTATATGATATTAAGTTATATAATATTAGAAATAAAGGTGTAATGCCATGTCTCCTATATTGGTTCTACTATATTATGTCATATCAGTGTTTCCCCTATGTTCCCAACTATGGGGGCGGACGTATCGGAGGGGGCTTGGGTGTTGGGGCGCGCTGGGGGATACAATGGTAGGGAAAACACTGTATATGAAATTATGTTATATAATATTAGAAATAAAGGTGTAATGCCATGTCTCCTATATTGGTTCTACTATATTATGTCATATCAGTGGTTCCCCCTATGTTCCCAACTATGGGGGCGGGACGTATCCGGAGGGGGCCGTGGGGTGTTGGGGCCGCGCTGGGGGATACAATGGTAGGGAAAACACTGTATATTGAAATTATGTTATATAATATTAGAAATAAAGGTGTAATGCCATGGTATCCTATATTGGTTCTACTATATTATGTCATATCAGTGGTTTCCCCTATGTTCCCAACTATGGGGGCGGAC